CGTCATGGCCCGTTTAGCATCATCCCTTCGTCTGCCTCCGGGAAATGGGCTTCACTTTTCCTCCTTGTCCCACGTGGGCGGTTCCCGGGGCGCTGTCCCTCGTCCCAAGCAGCTCCTGCCACCCCGAGCTCCAGAGGGGGCCACCACCTTGCCCCAGCCCTGGTGACGACGAGACTCGGGCTGGGATTCGAACCTGCAGAGACCTCAACGGAGGGACTCTGCTCACCACGCACACACATGCCCGTGAGCACGCTTCATACAAACACACACAGACACACACACACATGCATGTACATACGTGTTCCCTGTAGGTCCCCCGTGTGCACCTATCTGGGGAGGCGGGCCCGGTGTCAGACGACGATGCTCGTGCCTGGGGAGGGAGCTGGGGGTGGCGGCTCTGGTTTGCAAAATACGTCCCCCACCCCCCCCCTCCGAATTGCCGGAACTTTCTAGAACGAGCGTGCCTTGTTATCTCTGCAGACAGAGAAGCGCAGAGCCGCCCGCTGCTCCCCGTGCACGGTGGCCGGGATGACCTGCGGCGACCCCGACCTGGAGCTGGACGCCCTGCAGCCGTCCTTCTTCCCGGACGAGGATGACATCTACTTCAGCGGCCTCGACTGGAGCCGCCCGGGGGACGACCTCTGGAAGAAGTTCGACCTGCTGCCCATGCCCCTGCCGTCACCCGGCCTGGACTTCCCGTGCCCGGCCCCCGAGGTGTCCCCGAGCGAGTGGGACGCCGCGCTGGGTCTGGGGGAGCCGGGTGACGAGCGCTCCTCCAGCCCGGTGCTCCTGCGGGATTGCATGTGGAGCACCTTCTCGCCCCGGGAGATGCTGCAGCGGGCCGTGACCGCCACCACCCCCGCCAAGAGGCAGGGGACAGTGGCCGCGCCCGCGCCGGCCACCCCGTCCAGCAGCAGCAGCGGCGGCGACGACGATCACAAGGCCCCCAGCATCTCCGGGGAGGAGACCGTGGGCAACTCCGATGACGAAGAGGAAGAGGAAGGCGAAGGGGACGGGGACGGAGAGGAGGAGGTGGACGTGGTCACCGTGGAGAACCCGGGTCCCTCGTCCGCATCCGCCAGCAAGGCTGTCACCCGCTTCACCATCACCATCGGCCCCAAGAATGCCGTGCTGGTCACCGGGACGGGCCAGTCCAGCGTGCTGGTCCTCAAGGGCTGCGTCCCCATCCGCCTGCAGCCCGGCATGCTGTCCCCATCGTCATCGTCCTCCTCCGGCGCCGAGGGTGACAGCCCGCCGCCCGCGAAGACGGCCAGGGGGGGCGACGCGGCCTCCCGGCCCCCCATCAAGATCGTCATCCCCGCCAAGCTGGACGGCCCGGCCCGGCCCGGGACGAGCCGCGGTCCCCGCGGCGACAGCGAGCCGGAGGAGGAGGAGGAGCGGCAGCAGCAGGAGGAGGAGGAGGAGGAAGAGGAGGAAGAGGAGGAGGAGGAGGACAGCTACCGCCGCCGGCAGCTGCGCAACGTCATGGAGTTCCAGCGACGGAACAACCTGCGCTCCAGCTTCTTCAGGCTCAGGCTGGAGGTCCCGGACGTGGCCAACAACGAGAGGGCCACCAAGCTGGCCATCCTGACCAAGGGCATCGAGTACGTGCGCGCCCTGCAGGCCGAAGAGCAGCGGCTGCTGCAGGAGAAGGAGAGGCTGCAGGCCCGGCAGCAGCGCCTGCTCAAGAGGATAGAAAACGCCTGGGCCCCCAAACCAGCTCCCCAAAACGAGGGACAGGGGGGGACGGGCCCCTGCCCCGCTGGCACCTTTTGATTTTTTTTTTTTTTTTTTTTTGGAATGAAGAATGTTGCTTTATTTCCTTTTATGTTTATCTCGTCTTTATTGTTTTTTTTTAGCTTTGTTCTGGAGATTTTTGAAATTACGTATTTAAATTTCCTAATGGGAAA